AAATAAGATGCACATTAAAGCCTCATTTCGCCAGTATACTGCCATAACCTGGCGAAAATGGTTCAGGTGCATGTAGGGGTCGAAATTCCCCTCATAAGTGGTGAACTTGAGCTGGTGGAAGCCTGAAGGTAGTGGTGCGTTCTCAACTGCCGGAACGAACGACAAGCATTGTAACCTCGCTAATACTTTGTCTGCTGGTTCGTAAGCAAGGCGCGATATTGGCATTCCTACCTCGACGCTCCCATGCGATCTAGGAGCCAACCGCTGAAGGGCTAAAACTCGGCGCGGGTCGCGCGCCCTGGTATCCTCCTTCCATCGGGCCCTTTCTTCAAGCACAGTTCGCAAGTCCAATGATTTCAGCAACTCCGTGTGCCTAGACGACGTCTGGTGCGTGCGCGAGGGCCGATAAGTGCTTCCCTCAGTACACGATCTCTCAGTTCTCATTCTTTCAGGCCTGGAGTAACGAGTTCTGGAAGTCCGTGATTGAGTGTCGCATGTTCTAAGGCTCTTACTCTCTGCTTGCGATGGCGTGGTACACCTATCACGATTCTCTGAGTGGCGATGGGGCATGTTGCCTTTGCGCCCTTCTCCTGTCGCCACCCATTTTCCTTTTATCTGGCGCTTCAGTGACTCCATGTTTGCCGTCATTCTTCTTATTAACTCTTCCTGCTCCTTCACGCGATCCTCCAGAACTTGAGGATCCATTCTCTGCCTCTGTCTTTCAGGACTTTGAGATCGACGGGGGCTACCAGCCCGCCTTCCCCTTGTATCCCTCCGGGGGTTCTGTCGCTGGGGTTCTAAATCCGCCATGGGTGGGATAGAAGGTAAACCTTCGTGCCTCCCACCCCCCTCTGGGGTTTGTCCGTCGATAGCAGATTGCGACAAATCCTCATTGTGCGCCATTGGTTTCAACTAAAGAGAAAAACTCGATCAAAAGGTTTTGTTCTTTGTGTCTTCCCATAGACGGCGCCAATTGTACGAGTATGAAATAATCTTCTCGTATAATCCTGTTGATCAAGTCTGCGCTCCTCCAAATATCGTCGTTTTACTTCCTGAAAACACAAACGTGAGCTAGCCGGCCAGTGTGTGCCGAATATCTCTCCGATGCCTAAGCCAACAAAATAGACAATTACACAAAAGCTCTATGTATTTGAGAATCAAGGTTCTATTACCTGTACTTAGGTTATGTTGTGAGCTTTTATAGTTTTTGTCTGGCACAATCTTAGTAGGACTCTTATTCCTCCATGTAGAGTCCTCCTAGGAATCACACTCCTGAAAGATAATGCTTATCCTTCAACACCTCCCTCGCTGCTTAATCCAAGTGAGATGGTTTTACCATGGTTGGATAACAGTATGACCGAGCTAAAACTAGCCCCTTTGTCATACTCAATCCAGCGCCTTCATGTGCAACACATAGCTCGGCTCTCGTTCACTTGTACCTCAGTTTTGTCTGTTTGGATCGAGCTAACTGCAGCAAGCTTCGACCGAGCTAACAAGAGCAAGGTCTGCTTTAAGGAGCCAAAACACCTCGGCTCCGAATACTATGACCAAGCTTATTATAACCACTCCGACCGTGGTGACTGTAACACTGCCTAGACCGAGCTAACAGCGAGGCCCACTTTGGTAAGCCTTTTTCACCACGGTCCATAGAACGGCACATTACTACACCTGGGCCTAGCTCGGCCTTAATGCACATAAAAACTCCCTCTTAGTCATGTTCACCATGGGAACATCGCCATACGATATTTCGGTCTTATCGCACAATCATAGATTCCAACAACATTTTCACGCTTTTTTACATAAGCTTCGGCATCCTTTTGTATGTAGGGTCACCAGAATCCCTATAACATAGCTCTGTGGGCAAGGGATTTGCCCCCTACATGGATCTCCTGTAAAAAGTCTTCAACTTGGGAAGGATGTACACATCGCAATAGAGGTCCACTAAAAGTCCTTCTGCCAACAAGAAAAGCCTGGCCGACTTCAGTCTGATCTCGTGTGCTTTTTGTCTTCTCGGATCTGGGATCTGTTCATTTAGGCTGAGTTTTTATCTTCTCGGACCTACTCCTCTAGGGGGAGATCTTGTCTTCTGGGATTCGAGATTTGGAATTCGAGATCTGCTCACTTAGGCTGAGCTCTTGTCTTCTTGGACCTAATCATCTAGGTCGAGATCTTGTCTTCTAGGATCTAGGATACGGGATTCGGGATCTGGAATCCGAGATCTGTTCACTTAGGCTGAGCTCTTGTTTTCTCGAATCTACTCATCCAGGCCGAGATCTTGTCTTCTAGGATCTGGGATCCGAGATTTGGAATCCAGGATCTGCTTCACTTAGGCTGATCCTTCTATACTTGAAAGTCATCTCCTTGAGAGTGCTCATGCCCCCTGTCTTTGTATCTCTTCTGAAAGGGTCTTCATTCCGTTAATGTCAGCACATTCTCCATCTTCGTTAAACTAGTCGTTGCCGACATGTTGATCTTGCACGATGATGGCCATCTATTCTAACTAAGTTCCCACAGACGACGCCAAATTGTGAGTGTTAATTTCCAACCACACAACTAAATGGGGAACTCAACTGGAGAGCACTAGCATAACAAATTTAGCCCAAACACTTGCCAACAAGAATATGAGAATACCGCGGAGGTTCGTCCACCCGGGGGCACTCCGACGATCAAGTCAGTAATCTTATCTCTCACAGATATCAATACAAGTACTTAAACTTCAACAATGAAAGCATAAAAGCATCTCAGATAAAGCATACCTTAGACCCATGAGGGTGCCTTACTTTTATAATGATCAGTGTCCAACTTCCCCTAGAAGTCTTACTTCATAGGACTCTATCCTTTACAAGGATGACATTTATCACAACTCACACTATTCAGATTAAAATGAACTCCCTCAAGAGTCTCATCTCTATCCAAATAGGTAGCTTGATGTCATCTAAAACTCTAGTCCTCTATCCAAATACCTCGAATTTCGGTATTATCGCACCATATCTCGGTACCATGGTCTGTCCACGTGGCACCTCGGCTACGTAGACTACCTAAAAATACGTCCCCACAACAATTAATAAATTATTGATATAAAATGACCAAGGTTTATGTAAATTAATCTGGCACATTCATATTCATTGATAGTGAATCTCATATGAGTTTCATTAATGTTTAATGGCAATAGATGTATCAGATCAAATGTTAAATGAAAAAAAAATATATAAAACCATGATTAATTTAACAGTATTATTAAAGATATCAATCTTGTGACTGGTAGATGGTGGAGTACTTTTTCCCCTGCCAATTGAGTTATGAAATTTTTTCCCATCATAGAAAGAAACAACCACTGCCAGCTATAAAAGAAATTAGGTGAGTATAATAATCACATGATTAGTGTACTCTTTGGCCTTGTTTAATACTCTTTGGCCTTGTTTAATTAATAAAATTAATAGTAAAAGGATTAATAATTTCATAAATTAGTATATAATTAGTTATCTAATTAAATTAGCGAGACAACTATTTATTATGTATTCATTTTATTTTTTTTCCTTTCATATTTGAAATTATGATCCCTAGCTCCTTCAATATTAAAAATTCGTCAATTTCATTAGATTAAATGTCCACCGTACATGTAATTCGGTTAATAAAATTTGTAATTAAATATAGGATTGTGAGTCCATGGACTAACAATCTCAATTCTACACTATAATCTCAAACATAACCTTTATTCCAAGATTTTGGCATAGGTGACCTGTGAGCCTTTTAACTCATATTAGTTGTTCATGAGCTTGGTTCAGCTCGTTATATATGTAAATAAATTCGATTTAAATTTTTAGACTCATTTAATAAATGTGTCAGACTTATAAACTTGACTTATAAAGCTTGACTCATATTATTTATAATCTTATTATCAAACAATATAAAATATTTTATATATGCATATTTAATATAGAATAATAATGAGTTGATTGAACTTGATTAGCGAGTTAATTTTTTTCTTATTGAGCTAAAGCATGATTAGAATAAATGAACCGAATCGAACTCAAACTAGGTTAATTTTCAAGGCCGAACTAGAGTTTGATTTTCAAGCTCGATGAACAAACGAGCTAAACTCAAATTTTACAAAATTTGACTTAGCTCGACTCTTTTTACAGCAGAGTGAGTTTGACCAATTGATATTGTCCCATAGAAGACATTCCTTCGCTTATTTTACTTGCCTTGAAGGCCTTTTGATCCTATGCTCCCACTACAAGAAATGTCACTTTTGGCGACCAAAATATTGGTCGCCAAAAGTTAGAAATTTGGTCGCTGAAACGATTTAGTGACTAAAAGGTTTTGTCACCAAGTTCGTCGCTTATACCCTGTCGGTGATAGTATTGGTGACCAAACTTTATTTGGTCGCCAAAAGTGTAACATTTGCCTACTAAACTTCTTTTGGTCGGCAAATGTTAGCTTTTCGCCACTAAAACCAGTAGTCGCCGAATGTGAGTTTTGGCTACTAGCATTCGTGTGGTCGAGGAAGGTGTTACTTTTTGCTACGAAAGAATTAGTCACCGAAAGTTAACATTTGGCTACGAATCTGTACTTAGTAGGCAAACGTGACATTTCGGCCACTAATTTTTTAGTCACTAAAAGTTCTACATGTAAATTTTAACCAACTATTAGAGACTAAATATTTTGGTCACCAATAGAATACATTACTTTTTACCACCAAATGTTTTAGTCGCCAAATGATACCCTTTTTTTTCCGTGACTAAAAAATTTAGTGGCCAATAGTTTCTTTCTCTCATTCTCAATTGTTTTAGCTACTAACTATTTAGTCACAAAAAATTTTTTGGTTATGTTTTTGCTACTGAATTATTAGTCGCCAAAACATTTGATTACGTATTTGGCTACCAAAATATTTGGTGGCCAAATACATTTTGTTTTTTTTAAAAAAAAAAAAAAAATTCTAAACAACCTGTATCCATTTTTAGTACAACCTGTATCCTCTATAACCAATATAATCCATCAACGCTAAATATATTATCAACCATTCAAGCATTCAACAATGTGCACACATTTTAGCTCCAACCATCCAAAACATTAATATTGAACGTCCAATTCTATATATAATACAAATTTCATACGAACCAAGTCTAATCCAACGTCAATAATTTCATTTCATACATAATACAGGACTAACCAAATTAATTAACAAAAAGGACATATGTACCACAACCTAAATTAGCATATATGCTAATTTCTACCATGCCAAATTAGCTTATATTTACTACACCAAAAAAGTAATTTGTACAAACCACCATATATACGGGTAGACGTATAAAAACAATGCCCTTCCGTACTTGTCAAAAAAAATCATATCCACATTTGTATGTCTAAAACCATCTGCAAATAAAAAAAATTTCAAAAGTTATGTTTATGGAAATTAAAGGGGCCACAGTCAACAAAAGCAGTAAACAATTTTCCCAAAATATAACTGTACATAAACTAATAAGGAAAGAGTTAAGCAAACTATAGTTTAAGATGGTAGTACCAAAATAGTTGCCCACGACATGGGCATTTCATGTTCTACCACATATAGATGAGAATTCTTTCTTGGATTTGATCGAAAAAAATTTCAAAAATATATAGATGATAATATAAAAAATTTCAAAAATATAAAAATTTCAATGGTAGTATTAGGGCATATACGATATATATATATATATATGTATTTATATATAGATGATAATATTTTAATTTCAAAAATGCTTAATATCTCTCAAGTTGAACATAAGCAAATCTTGCTGCTATTTGCAACAAATCATTGCCAAAGAGATTGATGGCATGAACCATTAGCATAAAATTTAAAGGACTTTTTTCTTAATAAATCAAAGGAGTGATTTCTTAAGATTAATTGCATACCATAGTGGAGCAAATGTAGATGACAAATCAAGAAAAGGGTATGGCCACCTGTTGCAAATAGTTACAGTTATAGGAAATTAGAAGTGAGATTTTTGTAATAAAAAGAAAAGAGTGTTAAAAGGGAGACGAGTTTACCAAAGCGAAACGCAGGCATGGACGATCCATTTTAAAATGTACATAAACAGCAGTCCACAGGAAAAAGTATGCAATTCGAAACCAAGGGAACCACTGGAAGAGAAAGACAAGTCTAAAAGATTAAATTGTGAAGCAAAATAGGAATTGAAATCAAGATAAAAGAACTGCAACATACCGAGCAATTCAAAGCAGTGTCACCGAGCAGAAAAACAACATTGATGGTATGCATATTTATAATCAACTGCCACGTCAAAGATTAAGCACACTGTTTAGAAGACAAACAAAAGTTTTGATGATGAATCTTATGGATTTGCATGATATCAACTTTGCACCATATGGGTTTTACTCAAGGAAGCTAAATGATTTAAAAATTGACACACAAGAGGTTGATTTCATGTAGTTATATATATATATATATATAATGATATTAAAGGTTTTATGTTATTGAAACAGAAAATACCCTGCATCTGTCCAAGCCCATGTTTTTACCTCTTCATTGTATTTGTTTCTAAAATCATGGAAAACAAAAGCAATATACCAAAAAGGATGTACTACACAGAGACAACCATATAGACATTATTAGTTCACAACTTTCATTTGTTTGTCTAACGTACAATGTGAGAGATCAAACAAGTTCCTTGAACATTCAAATCTACAAGTTTCATTCAATCTCAGGTAGATATAGCTATGCAAATTGGGAGCTCAAATCTCACATTTGCAAGAAGAAAAAAAATTACACATTAAGCACAATTTCTAAGTTATAACTCAAAAATTAAAGTAAAATCCAATATAATGGCCAAAGGGACCATTTAGAAAATACATGTTCATTAAAGTAACAAAAATTGGACCATCCACTTAAATAGCAACATGTCTAAGTAATACAGGGCATGCTACACAACCATTACTAGCACACATCTGTTAACAGTTAACTACAAAACCAAAAGAAAGAACTGTGCTCATTTTGAGAATTGTGCTCTATTCCCAGCAAAAGGAAATGTGGAAATGGCATGAAAGATAGATTCCATTGGGCATTTTGTTAAAGACCATATAATGTCAAAAGGGTTAGAATTTCAATACACAATTCATATATTTCTATACACTTTCTACATATTCGAATCTACTTTTTACACATATACCCCATTAGATGGGGTGGTTAGCATTTCCTTTTTTTGGAATTACTTTTCCTAAAAGAAGATACCCTCAAAAGCTCGGCGAAATGCCATTGCTTCTGCCTTCTGCACTGGATCTTCATAGCCTGTATCGTTTACAGGAGCAGTACCTGTTGACTCCTTATATATCTTATCAAAAACACAAAACAAAAGTGAAGAGCAACCAAGGTCAGTTCCCTCACAAACACATATATTTTCCTATTGAGATTCATAAAAATTAAAAAAAGAAAAAAAAAGAAAAGAAAGGAAAAGAAACAGGAAGGAGTGAGAGAGAGAATTGGCACATGTTAAAAAAAAATAGTAATAATGTTGAACAATCTTATCCATGCAAAAGAAATAAATAAATTTATATTAACACGTTATATAATAGTTTTTATATAAAGACGTGGTTACAATATCTAAAAGCCACCAACCATAAATTATTTAAAACCCATTACATTCTTTCTTGACATTAGAAAAATGGACATAACAACCCTAAATAGGGTAATATAATAAATAAATAAATGAATGAAAATCTGTCAGAAAGTTCCAAGAACACATGCATTTTACACAAATCTGTCAGACAGTTCATAAAGCACAGGTGCATCTTACATAAAGATGCATTTCAGTTCCTTGAGCCCTTGACCTAAGATGAGTTTTTTAACTGATTATATATGCCCTTTCATGTTTCTCTCCTCTCATTCCTTCTGTCCACTGAGAACAGGCACAAACTGTTAATAAAGGATAGACAGATAAAAAGACAAGGATTCCAAAAACAGCCCACTTAAAGCCCATCATTAGCCAATAAAGGAGCTCTTGCATAGAAAGTCATGTTTGTTAGAAGTTTTAATTTTTAGGAGTTTCTACTTTGGTTAGAATTTCCCTAAATTTTAAGTAAAGCTAGGAGTCCTTTCCAGGGCTACTGTCTAGCCTGTTATTAGTTTATAAAATTTCTATTGCAAGAAATGCTATTGGTTAAATGTATAAGAGCGAGTTTGATAAAAGTAGGATATGTCTATACTTTTGACAATCATGTTAAACCAATCAATCAATTTCAATCTCCCCTTCAACTATATGCATGACTTTGTAATGAATAAGATAAAAACCAATAAAAAGGGACTACTTACTGAGTATAGAAGTAAAATATTCAAGTTGTACAGAAACTTGGGCAGTCCACAAGATAACCCCAGAAGGCAAACAAGATGTTCAAGTTTTCCCTTAATAAACTATTGGAGAAGACACACAAAATCGATTACAGTGGCAATGCAGTTTGTTGATACATTTCACAACAACATAATGGGTAAAGATTAACACAATCAAGTAATTGAAATCAAGTGTTGACTAAATAAAGTTGAACATACCCTGCATTTCACCTCAGTATGCAACTGTCACAATTCTTTGAAGCATATATACAAACAGATAATGAGCTTATATGCTTTGCACACATATTAAGCTAAAGAACCAACACAATTGCCTTAACAGCTAAACTTAACACTGCCCACAGTAGATGTAAGGTTCATATATGCAAGTTGAACATTGCCGACATTTCACCTTATTATGCAACTGGAACAATTCATTGAAGCATATAAACAAACAGATAGTGAGCATAGATTCTTTGCACTCTTTTAACATAAAAAGAGCCAACACCATTGCATTGCCTAACAAGCTAAAATAAACACTGCCCACCATAAATATATGCGCCATATATAAAGGAAGAGAAAAAGGAGACCTCGAGAGCGCGTTTGTTGAAATGGAGCTTCCTTAAGCGATTGATGGTGTGAAAGACATGGCCTCTATGAATGGGAAATCCGTCACCCATCTAGCTCTGGAAGGCAGACCCAACAGGCTCTGTTCTTAGGAGCTTCTCAATCATCCAACGCAAACTCTTTGGTTTTTCTTCTTCTTCTTCTCTTCCTCCTTCGTGGGTCGAAACTAAAGTCTCATTCTCAGATGAATAATGATTATGAGGGGGGAGGGTGGAGAAGCTGAAACTTGAAGAATGGAATTGGGTAGCGGCAGAGAGAGAGATTGAAAGATAGAGAGAGGACATACCAGGGGCAATGCTCCAATGGTGGATTGACGGTGGTGCTCGTGTGCGATGGCAGTGATGCTCCCGTACCCGACGACGATGGAGACAAAGGGGAGAGAGAGAGCTGGAGGAGGGCAGAGGCGTGAGAGAGTTAAAAAGAGAGAGAGAGTCACAGAGTGAGAGACAGACAAACGTATGAGAGTCTGAGTGTGTGGAAGTGTATTTGTTAAACCTAGTTTATTTTCTTTCCCGACCAATTTTTGTAGTCGCCAATAATAAATAAAGATGTTTTCCCGACTAACGATTTTAGCAGCCAATTAATTTTCCCTCTGAAATTTGAAGTCCAATTTTTAAATTTTTTAATTATAATCGCCGACTAAAATTTAGTTGCTAAAACTAAATTAATACTGACTAAAATATTTTTAGTAGCTAAAGATTATACATTAGGGACCAAAAATTTTTTGGTCGCCTATAGGGTAAGTTATTAGCGACTAAGTCATTTTTAGTCGCCTATTGAGTAACCTTTTTAGCTACTAATTGTATTTTAGTCGCCTATTGTGCTATTTTTAGCGACTAATTGTTTTTTAGTCGCTGATTGGGTCACTTTTTAGCTACTAATTATATTTTAGTCGCCTATTGGGCTATTTTTAGCAACTAACTATTTTTTAGTCGCTGATTGGGTCACTTTTTAGCTACTAATTGTATTTTAGTCGCCTATTGTGCTATTTTTAGCGACTAACTATTTTTTAGTCGCTGATTGGGTCACTTTTTAGCTATTAATTGTATTTTAGTCGCCAATAAGTAATATACGGCTACTAAAAAAATTTAGTAGCTAAAATATGAAACATTGCCGACCAATTCAAATTTTAGTCGCCAAAGAGCTGACCTTTGACGACTAAATTAATTTTAGTAGCTAAATTTGGTCGCCAAAAGTGTAATTTCTTGTAGTGTCCGAGCAGAGTTAATGGAAAGGGTTGAAGTAAAGTTGGAAGTATTGTATTGGTTCATGAAACGTAGAAGCATTTGAAACAATTTAATAACGCCAAGTTTAAAGTAGTTGAGTCCTTAGAATCAAACCAAAGCTTGAGATAGTGGGTTTCTATGTTGGATCACATTCTGGCAAAGAGGTATACCAAATACCAAGACCTTTGTTAGGAAAAGTTGGCATTCATAACAAGTGGGCATACACCATTCCATGTGGTAGCTTAGAGGTACTCCAACACAACTAAGTGTTTTGTCTAGTAAAAATACACATAAAAATATATATTATATTTAAAAATATTATATATCATAAAAATTTATTCTAAATCTTATTCCGAAAGTGAGGGTGTACTGTAGATTTAAAATTAGTGAAAGATAGATTACACTTATAATAGATGTAAATCATTGATTCTCTTTTTTTGCTTAATTTCCTACACAAATTTTTCTGAATTTGTAGCATTAGTGTATTATATTTTATTTATTCATTTTCAACATATTTTCAAAATTAATTTGTTGTACTTTTAAAACATTTTACATGTAGCTAATCTAGACAAGACGAGGCAACATATTCATGTGCTAGCTATTATGCTGGAGCTTCATTTTATGATGACACAAGACCAATTGCATAAAAATTTAAAGCATCTTTAATTCTTGTTGAAGATGCTTCAAGTACATGGTTGGGGGCTTACTCTCGTATGACTTGATTAAGAAGAGATGTCTCTGCGATGACAATTAGGCTTAAATTTCATTGGACATTGGTTGCTATAATCAATTTTTTTTATATTGAGATTTTTTTAGTTTGGTTTTTTTAATCTTGTTTGGTTTGGGTTTTTTGATTTTAGTGAAAAAAAATGTAATAATTATAAGTTGAATGTAATATTTTATCGTATTAACTTATTTAGTCTATTTTATTATTTTATACATTTTTAACTCCA